TTCAGAAGTAGAGGTCAGTGATTCATCAATCTTATATAATACCCCGTGCTCATTACATCACGTGCCCTCCTTAATGTCCATCTCCCAGTTACCCTATCCCCCCAGCAATCCTCAGTTTGTTTCCTATGATTAAGAGTCTCTTATCGTTTGTCTCCCTCTCTGATTTCGTTTTGTTTTATTTTTTCCTCTTTTCCCCTATGCTCCTCTCTTTTGTTTCTTAAATTCCACATATGAGTGAGATCATATGATAATTGTCTTTCTCTGATTAACTTATTTCGCTTAGCATAATACCCTCTAGTTCCATCCATGTTGTTGCAAATGGCAAGATTTCATTTTTTTGATGAGTGAGTAATGTATATATACCACATCTTCTTTATCCATTTATCTGTCAGTGGACATCTAGACTCCCTCCATAGTTTGGCTGTTGTGGACATTGCTGCTATAAACATTGGGGTTCAGGTGCCCTTTGGATCACTACATTTATATCTTTGGGGTAAATGCCCAGTAGTGCAATTGCTGGGTCATAGGGTAGCTCTATTTTTAACTTCTTGAGGAACCTCCATACTGTTTTCCAGAGTGGCTACACCAGCTTGCATTCCCACCAACAGTGTAGGAGGGTTCCCCTTTCTCCGCATCCTTGTCAACATCTGTCGTTTCCTGACTTGTTAATTTTAGCCATTCTGACTGGTGTGAGGTGGTATCTCATTGAGGTTTTGATTTGTATTTCCCTGATGCCAAGTGATGTTGAGCACTTTTTCATGTGTCTGTTGGCCATCTCTATGTCTTCTTTGGAGACCTGTCTGCCCATGTCATCTGCCCATTTCTTGATTGGGTTATTTGTTCTTTGGGTGTTGAGTTTGATAAGTTTTTAGATTTTGGATACTAGCCCTTTATCTGATAAGACATTTGCAAATATTTTCTCCCATTCTGTGGATTGTCTTTTGGTTTTGTCAACTGTTTCCTTTGCTGTGTAAAAGCTTTTTATCTTGATGAAGTCACAATAGTTCATTTTTGTCTTTTTTCCCTTGCCTTTGGAGACGTGTCTAGCAAGAAGTTGCTGCGGCCAAGGTCACAGAGGTTGCTGCCTGTGTTCTCCTCTAGGATTTTGATGGATTCCTGTCTCACAGTTAGGTCTTTCATCTATTTTGAGTCTATTTCTGTGTATGGTGTAAGGAAATGGTCCGGTTTCATTCTTCTGCATGTGGCTGTCCAATTTTCCCAGCACCATTTGTTGAAGAGACTGTCTTTTTTCCATTGGACATTCTTTCCTGCTTTGTCAAAGATTAGTTGACCATAGAGTTGAGGGTCCATTTCTGGGCTCTCTATTCTGTTCCATTGATCTATGTGTCTGTTTTTGTGCCAGTACCATACTGTCTTGATGATGACAGCTTTGTAATAGAGCTTGAAGTCTGGATTGTGATGCCACCAGCTTTGGTTTTCCTTTTTAACAGTCCTCTGGCTATTCGGGGTCTTTCTGTTTCCATACAAATTTTAGGATTATTTGTTCCAGCTCTGTGGAAGAAAAAAATTGATGGTATTTTGATAGGGATTGCATTGAATGTATAGATTGCTCTAGGTAGCATAGACATTTAATATTTGTTCTTCCAGTCCATGAGCATGGAATGTTTTTCCATTTCTTTGTGTCTTCCTCAATTTCTTTCATGAGTGTTCTATAGTTTTCTGAGTACAGATCCTTTGCTTCTTTGGTTAGGTTTATTCGTAGGTATCTTATGGTTTTTGGTACAGTTGTAAATGGGATCGACTCCTTAATTTCTCTTTCTTCTGTCTCATTTTTAGTGTATAGAAATGCAACTGATTTTTTCATTTTATATCCACAACACCTAACAGTGCCTGGTGCTGGCTTACTGAATGAGGAATGAATTAATGAAAGAATAGTGTGTGTGTGTGTGTGTGTGTGTGTGTGTGTGTGTGTCTTTCTGTCTCTGTTGAAGGATTGTCAACAGAGGCATGATGGGGGAATTTTTATTTAGCAAATATATCCACCTCCATTCTTTTTACTTTATTATATTTTTTGAGAAAGAGACGGTATGCGTGGGGTGGGGGGAGGGGCAGAGGGAGAGGAAGGGAGAGAATCTTTTTTTTAAGATTTTATTTGAGAGAGAGAGCGCACGTGAGTGAGTGGAGGGGCATAGGGAGAAGCAGACTCCCTGATGAGCAGGGAAGCCCGATTCGGGGCTCGATCCCAGGACCCCAGGATTATGACCTGAGCTGAAGGTAGCCACTTAATCGACTCAGCCACCCAGGCACCCTGGGAAGGAGGGAATCTTAAGCAGGCTCCACGCCCAGTGCCCAGTGCAAGCCTGAAGTGGGGCTCGATCTCATGAGCCTGAGATCTTGATCTGAGCTGAAATCAAGATCTCATGACCCTGAGATATTGATCTGAGCGGAAATCAAGAGTCGGATGCTTAACCGACTGAGTCACCCAGGTGCCCCTCCCTCCATCATTTTTAAAACCCAACTGGTGGCATCCCTGACACACTATTCTGCATTTTGCTGTTGTTACTTATAGTATATTGTTCCATACTGGTATACAAATGATATGATTACATAATATTCCTTTACATAGATATAATTTAATTAGTCTCCCTTTTTAATTCTTAATTGTGATGAAATATACATAACACAAAACTTATCATCCTAACCATTTTTTTAAAGATTTTTTAAAAATTTGAGAGAGAGCACACATGAACAGGGGAGGGGCAAAGGAAGAGGGAGAGAGAGAATCTCAAGCAGCATGGAGCCCCACAGGGCGGCGGGGCGGGGGGCGCTTGTTCCCACAACCCATGCGATTGTGACCTGAGCTGAAACCAAAGTCAATCACTCAACTGACTGAGCCACCCAGGCATCCCTCATCTTAACCATTTTTAAGTGTACAGTTCAGCATTGTTAAGTATATTCACATTATTGTGTAACCAATCTCCAGAACTTTTTCATCTTGCAAAACTGAAACTCTCTACTAATTGAATAGCACCTTCCCATTTCCTCCTCCTGGAAACCATCATTGTTTTTCAATTTCTATGAATTTGAGCTAGTCTCCCTTTTGAGTTGTTTTCCTCTTTCCTCCTTTTTTTTTTAAAGATTTATTTATTTGTTTTAGAGAGAAAGAGCACGAAAGGGAGGGAGGGACAGAGTGAAAGGGAGACAGGATCTTAAGCAGACTCCAAGCTGGGCCTAGAGCCTGACACAGGGCTTGACCTCAAGACCATGAGATCATGACTGGAGCCAAAACCAAGAGTCGGTCACTTAACCAACTGTGCCACCCAGGCGCCCCTTCCTCTTTGCTCTTACAAATAAGGCTGTGATAACTAGTTTTGCATATGTGTCAGTCTGCACATAAATAAGTATATCTGTAAGTTGAACTCCTAGAAGTAGAATTTCTGGATAAAAAGATTTCTGCATTTCTCAGTTTTGATATATATTGCCAGATTGACTTCCCAAATTGTACCAATTCATACTCCCCACAGCAGTGTATGATACAGCAGCTGTTTAAATATGTTTCAGTAGTTAGCTTGTCAGCTGAGCTGAGCTGGGAACTTGGGGAAGGAAAGGCCACTGGAAGGAAAGTTGGTGCTGCTGCCTTTTTCAAGGGGCTGGGCTGGGTTCTCTCCCAGTGTTCTACCTCTATTCCTTAAGGATTATTTGACATCCCTTTAGTGTAGTTTTATGCTGCATTCATTTAAAAAAACTAAAATAAAAATTTTCCCATACAGTATAAGCTATTTGAGTGTTGGTAATAACATTTGAGTGTTGGTAATGATTAGAATACCTCACTTTGCAAAGCGGTCCCACAACTTAAGACTAGGTTTAGCCCAGCTGAAAATTTCCTTAATACAAATTTTAAGGTCTTTAAAATCAATAAATAGATACCTCGCTTAAATGGGTTTTAACAGAAAGAAACAATTAGCAGACCCGTTTTCTCACATGAACTCTTATGAGGAGCTCCACTATGTTGGGGGGACAGTGGAGGGTGGCTGGAGAAGGAGGGAGGCTGGAGGAGGCAGAGCAGGTGAGCTCCACATCTCCCCATGCCTATTCCATCCAGAACTCTTACAGGCAGGCGGGTTGACTTCTTTGCCTTTAGCCGTGCATGAGAGGAGTGAATACTAATGTATAATCAGCCTCTCATAATTCATGTCAGACATTTGAGGAACCCTGGAACCTTTGTCTTGTAGAATCCTGATGTTCAAAACTGATGCTCAATTATCTTTTTTCTGTGAAGTAGATTTACTGTAAAATGAGGCATAACTACATGGAGATACCAGTGTTTTCCTTAGAGTGTACATACAGGTTCTGGTACAATGACTTTTCGTCTGGAGGTTCTTAATAAGTGTAACATCTTTATTAGTTTTCTTATTTAAAAGTGAAAATACTTGCATATATTTGAAATGTTTTCACATTTTATTATAAGGTAGAATTTGAGGGGCTCTGGAAACCTTGTCCTAATCATGATCAATATCAATAGTTCAGAATTCATTCCCCTAGACTTTATTGTATTAAATGACATAAATTTTATTCCTTCTTTAAAAAGGTGGAATCACACTATATATATTGTTTTGTGATTTGCTTTATTTCCTTGATAAGTCCTTTTTGCATTAGTGTATAGAGATACTGTCTGTTCTTTCAGTGGATTTATACTCTTCCATTATAGCATAACTTTCTTATCTACTCCCCTATTGGTGAATATTTAAGTTCCAATAAATATCCTTTATGCATCTATCTTTGCCTATTTGGACAAATGTTTCTGCAGGATAAATTCTAAGAAGTAGAACTTCTCGATCAAAGGATGACCATTTTTACATTTTAATGGATATTTGGGGGCTTTATACAATATTATATCGACAGCCTGATACTTATTGGAAGTTAACTTAGTTTAGACTTTCAGAGTTTTAGTTAAGTGATCTATCATGTACACCAGTTTGTCTAATATAAGGTTTCTATAATGTAAAATCTCTAAAGTGACAGCTTTTTTATTCTTCCAGTGATGGAATGGGGGGACGATATTAAAGCAGTTTCACAAGATGAAGCAGTAATGTTGGTCAATCATCAGGCAACAGGAGATGTATGCACTCTGATGATGTGTCTCCAGGACAAAGGACTGGTAAGCATCCTGAAGGCAGATGTAGACAGCAGGAGGGGGAGGTTAACGAAGAATCTATTCAAGTATCATACTACGGTTTGGAACGTAAACTTTAATATCTCTACTTTTCCTGAAAATTGAGAAAAATTAAAATATATATATACATAATTCTAAGTATAATTCCAGCTCCAGGACAGGAATGTGGAGACTTTCAAAAAAGTAACTGGAAAATAATGTGGATGATATCTCCATAGAGCTATTTAAAAAAGTAATTGAGGCAAAATCAGAGTTAAGATGTTCAGATTGGGGGCTGTCTTGAGGTGAATTGGTGGGTTACTAGTTTGAAAAATACAGACACAAAAAGCAGTATTGTTTAAGGTAGAAGAGTCTAGTTGGTCAGTGAATTAGATGATCTTGGGGCTCTTTAGCCAGAAGAAAAAAAAAAACGTAAATATTTTGGATTTCCTTTATAAAGCAAATTGAAAGGAAAGATATTAGGCCCATTTTATTAAGTGTTACTAGGCTACGTATGAACCGTTGGTTTTACATGGCTTCTATTGGTAACTAAAATACATCTATCAACTGGGTGGGTTTAAAATAAATTCAGTTTTGAATTTATATAATAAATTTATATTATAAATTAACATTAAAGTAATAAGTAATAAATTAGCATTAAAAGAATTATCACCTTAGAACTTAAAGAGGTTGTGTTCATAGAAAACTAAATAGAAAGTGTATAAATTAATGGAGTTAGTATTTATCGTAATAGTAAAGAAACAAACCCATAGATGTTTATTAAGTGCTTCATATTCATGGTCAGTGACTGTAAGGATTGAACACCATCCTGTAAGACACTGTCCTCTCAAAGGAGCTAACAGTCCAGCATTGATGGAAGGAAAGTATAGTGAACAGTACTTAATTGCAAAGTGAAAGGTATTTAGTGGAGGGTGAGCTCCCCATGTATGACAGGTATAGAAAACTTTGTAGAAGGGAAAGGACATAAACTTGGCCTAGTTAGAGTGGTGAAGCAAGGGCCTTCTTCCTTAGTGAAACAGTCTTGGCCAGAACACCAAAGCAAACTAAACCTGGTATGTTTAGTTCCTAGAGATTTTGATTCAGTAGGTCAGGGTGAGGGGTCAGAAAATGAAGTGAGAGTAAAGTAAAATATGCTTGACTATTGTAGAATCTGTTTTTCATGTTTATCTGAAAAGCAGAGGCATAATCTTGCTGGAATGTGGAATAAATTCAATCCTTTCTTATATTCAGAATCTTGAACTGTTAAAAGAGTATCACTGTATAAATGTATTTGCACTTATAATAATATTTATTACTTGTGATGATGTTAAAATTTTGTAAAGCCTAGTTTATTTAGTTTTCATCAAAGAGAATCCCCAATTAACATTTTTATTCTTACTGATATGGTCATTACATTCATAGTGATTTTTCTGAGGGTTTACAGCGTCTTTAATTGGTTTTTGAATTCAAAGAATGATTACAATGGTCAGTATAAATATGCCTAACTTAATCACTCTCACCCAAGTTTGGCATGGATGATAACTGTATTAACTAGAATATTAGGTAATCTGAAATTCACCAATTATGTGGACAAAAGAAAATTTGTCTTATTTGTTTGCTTTTGTAAAAAGATTTCTGTTAGTATGACTTAGGTTCATTTTTCTGTCCAGAGTAATTTTGTTTTTATTTTCAGATGAGTTATACTAAACATTTTTATTATGATCTGATATTAGTGAATAATTTGAAATCTTGAGGAATTTTTTTGTCTTCTTTCATAAAGGAGTAATTGAGAAATATAAAGCTGGAAGCATCATAATCTCTCCCTCCTGCCTAATATGTATAGGGCAATACTAATTTATATATATATTTTAAAGATTTTATTTATTTATTTGACAGAGAGAGAGATAGCGAGAGCAGGAACACAAGCAAGGGGGAGTGGGAGAGGGAGAAGCAGGCTTCCTGCCGAGCAGGGAGCCCAATGCGGGACTCGATCCCAGGACCCTGGGATCATGACCTGAGCCGAAGGCAGACGCTTAACAACTGAGCCACCCAGGCGCCCAATACTAATTTATATTTACCAGTAAGAATGTTTACTTGACTTATTGCATACTCCGTGGGTACATTCAAAGAAAGAAGGCTAATGCTAAATTGTGGGCCAATTAAAAAATATTAGTTTAATGGCAATATGTGAGTGTAACATAGCTTTTGGAATTCAGGAGACTTCTTGTAGCACCTTTCAATGTTAGCGGGGGTCCCGTTGGCCCATTGGTAGGACAACACTGTTTTCCTGAACTGTCCTGGGCATTGCTGGATGTTTTCCATACCTGACTGCTACCCACTAAATGCTGGTAGCACGCCCTACCTACCCTTTGTGACAACCCAAATTGTCCTTACACATTTCTAAACAGGAGAACCATTGACTTAACTATACTTTCAGAAGGATATGAAGAACGTAGTCCTTCATGTAAGCCTCTCTAGATTTTTTGATATGTAGAAAACCCATGCTTCCAGATAAAGACTAATTGATGTGGGCCAATTCTGTTTCTTGGAATTACCTAACAGAGCTCTGAGTGACAGACCTGTGAAACACTGAGAGTTGCTTCAGGCAGCTGGTGTTTACTGGCCCGCTTTTGAGGAATATGAAACAAAGGATTCATTGTATTTTCCAAATGTGCTGGTACCTTTTAAATAAGTATCTGTGAATTGAGTCATACCCTTTTATGACAAATGATGATAAAACTAAGAATTTTTATTTCTGTCAAAAGAACTTTATTAGACATATAATAAACATTTATTGACTTGTAACATTTCCCCTAAAATAAGTTGGGACAGAATTATGCATACAAATCTCAGAAGATAGCTTGGCTGCCTTACGAATGGATTTGTTTTAGGTGACCCTTCTAACTGAAGAGATAAATCCACTGTAAATGTAAGGTTAAACATAAAAACTAGTGGCTTTAGCATTGGTATTTTAAACCCAGAAACCAATAATTGCCACTAAACTTCATACTGTGTATAAAGCTCAAGTATTTTATAGGTTGAAGCGACTTGCTTTTTGTTTTGTTCCTTGGGACACTTTACAGCAAATTCCATTTAGTTCAAATCTCAATTTATTTAAACAAAGTAATCATCATTACAAAGCAAAACAAGACTGAAAAATGAGATGTTGGCAATCATTTTATTCTGTATTAATTGCCTTGGGGAATCACTTCTTCACTGGGCATGTATTTTTATTTTTTAAAGGGATTTAACATAGTAAAGCTGATGGGGTAGGAGCTGTGTAGTTGAACTATATAGTGATGCTGAAAAATTAAGGCATAAGCTTTAATATTATATTATTTGTCAGCTTTTATAATGTTTTTGTAAAAGCACCAGCGATGTCAGTGCTTATTTTTTTCCTAATATGTAAGTTCATATAATTTGGTGCTTCGAGATGAAGTTTACATGTGTTATTCCCATAGAAACCAAAGTAGAGCTCTATTGCATTCTTAATTGAGGCTGTAGCTTTTAATGAATTTATTTAAGGATTATAATGAGGAATGCCATTTCCTCAGCAGGGAGGAACAATTAACTAGCTTATTAATTAGACCCCTATTTACACTTACTTTTAATTTTGAAATTTGTTTGAAATAAAGTCTTGCTCTAAAATGAGTATTACTTTTTTTTTTTTAATCAGCAAGGGATACTATTTCTGTGTTTAAGAACTGAGGTGCTATAAATATTTTTATGCTGGCAAAGAGTATGGCCTTGCATAAACTAACAAATATTCTTAACATAATCTAATGCATAAATCATTTTATGAAATGAATTTTGAATGTTCTTTTATTTTGGACATTTTTGTACTTTTATAAAATTTTATAGTTTTACATTTATAATTTTTAATTTTTAATATTTTAGCCATTAAGGTAAAGTCACATTTTTATAAAGCTTTAGTGCTTATTAATTAAACTTATAGCCCTCATTTGATGACTTCATTTTATTGTTTCAAAATAATTTTACAAGTTATATAAGAATTACCAGAGACTTTGTTTAGGGTAGAACAAATTTGGAATCATTAAGTCCAAATTTAAGAAGTTAATTCAGTTTTACTTGTTACACAGCAATATATATCCCTCAGACCTGGGATTTCAAGACTTGGAATCAAGACCAGTAATTTTTCATGGAGACTTGGTGCTTTAATTGTAGAAATAAACACCAGATTTAAAATATTTAGGTTAATTAAGAGGATGCTTAGATGGTTATATTTAAAACTTAGAGCCCTGGCTAGACTATAGCAGGTTTCTTCTACTTAACATGTAATTATTTCTTGCTTTTAAATATTTTAGGTTGTTGCTCAAATGATGTGGTTGATGGATCATATTTTTAAGTACACAAACTTTGGAATTGTTTCTCTAATTCACGGAGACTTCTTTATAAGACAGGTGAGTAATGAGCATTCCTTTTTCACAGTGAAAGCCTGATCAAAGTGATCCTTTATTATAAGCATAGGCATACCCAATCCAATTATAATAGAGAGAGCTCTGGTATCTCAGGGAGCTCTTCCCCTGAATCTTTGTTCTCTGAAACAGTTATTTCAATCTGAATTTCAACATTTATATGCTCAAGCAGTAAAATGGTGACATTGCAAATATTCTAATCTCTACCCTCCTCATCCCATCTAAACAGTACAATGTTTAGTAAAGATTTATCAAGCACCTGTCACATTCTCAGCTCTTCTGCTTCTTAGCTATGTGAATCAGGCAAGTTATTTAAACTTTCCAAGTTTTCTGATTTTTCAGATGAGAATAAGAGGTACTGCCCTCATAGGGTGGGGTTAAATGAAATAATACACTCAGAACAGTGCCTGCTCCCCTCTTCATCATTTTTATCATGATTACCACTATCATCATCATCTGTATTTTCACTGTTATTTTTATTGACAAGTCACTGTTACATGATAGAGAAGGTATCTAAATTGCCAGTAGGTGGGTAGGTAGGTAGGTAGATAGAAAGGTAGACAGAAAGAAAAGAAAAGGAAAGGAAAGGAAGAAAGAAAGAGGAAGGAAGGAAGGAAAGGAAGGAAGGAAGGAAAGGAAGAAAGAAAGGGAGAAAGAAAGAAAGGCAGAAGAACGTATTTTGGGAATTCATAGTAGGAAAAGTGACTCCATCAGATTTTTATGAACTCAGAAAAACTTTAGAGAAGAATAAGTATGAGTTTGATAAGAGGAAAGTAGATTGAGAATGGTTCCCAAGGATCAGGGGTAAGTTTAGTTAGTGTAGGAGGAAGAATCATACCCTCTTACCAAGTCAGCACTACATTATGGTATTTCCCTGGTATGCTACTGGTATCATATGCTTGATTTTCCCAAAAACTGAAATAAGATACGCAAGAGTTTTTACGTATGGTAATGCCGCACTTATCTGATATTTATATATTTAGCAGCTTCAGCCTTGCACATATAAGTACTTAATGAATAACTGGTGAATCTGATTAGGCCTCATCTGAGAATCACAAATTCAGAAATAAGCTGGAAGCGTATAGAGAAACTTCTAAGGTGTCTGTAGGTGTCACAAAACACATATACTTTACTCCAGACACTTTTATGTACAGAACATTTTGTTTTTCACATGCTGTGCCATGATCTAGTTTCTTCTGGAAATACTCTTGGTTCTTCTGAACAGAAAGATGAATGAAAGCATTGCCCTGGAACCTCAGGAGAAAGTGGCAATGGGGATTGGCCACAAGCTTGAGACAAAATAAACAGTGATCGGAACAACTTAACAAGGAAATTAGCATAATATTTTGAGTACCACTGGAGGGGAAGAAGCAGAAGCAACCATTGCACCTTAGCAGCCTAGGGGAATGCAGAGCCCTCTCCATCATGAGAGTCTGAGGAAATTATCACAGTTATAACAATTGACCCTGTTGATGATCCTCAGGCATCACTAAATTATACTAAATGATCAGTGTACTTTGAGGAGATAAGTGTAGAAAATAATGTACTCCGAAACATTTTCCTTTTTATTGCAATGTAAAGTTTTACATACTTAAAGATTGTATTTCAAAATTATCAGAAATATTGCAAGTTCATTTCTAAAGAGCAACCTTTTTCCCCCCTGATAGATAGTAATAAAAATCTGTAACATGAGGGGAGGGGAGAGAGAAAAAGTATTATTTTTAAAGAAAGTCTGTTGGACTTTACTACTAGATATTTCCAAGAATATAAAAATATTTTACATGCAGTCTTGGGAACTTAATAAATAAAGCTTAATCATGATCAGTTCAATTCAGTAAAATAAGAAAATGTTTTACTTGTTTTGCATTGGAGTACTTTAAAGACTGAATGCATACAAATTATTTTGGGGCCTTCTGTAATTGTGTTGGCTGGAAAATTATTAGTGAATCGACGATACTGAAAGGAAGAACCTTTGTAATATTTGTGGGTTTTGGGCTTTCCTACAAATTTTTCTGGATTCTTCTTTCAGTCTCCAAGTCATCCTCTTTCTTCTCTCTTCCTCACACTAAGGTCCAGTCCATTAGAATGGCCTGTTTGCTCTACTTTCAGACTCTCCTGAATGTATCCACTTTTCATCAATACACCATAGTCCAATCTCATCACACCCCCTTGCCTGGACTTACAATAGTCTCCTGACTTATCTGCTGGAGTCTGTCACTGGAGCCAGCAGATTTTTTTTTTTTTTTATGTAAATAAGAGCATGACCCTCCCTTGTTCAAAACCACCCATTGACTTCTCATCCCAAACTACTTACCAAGTTCAAGGCCTTTCCTCTCTGTCCCCCACCTCTCTCTGCAATTTCCTCTCCTACCACTGTCTTCCTCACTCCTTACACATCAGCCACACTGGCCTTGGTACTGCTCTTGGAACATCCATCTCAGGGCCTTTGTCCTTTCTGTTCTTGTCACCTGGAGAGCTCTGCCTCTCCTTTCCACTTGACTGGTTCCCTCCCATTACCAGCTCACTGGGGCTGTTCTTCCTGACCTCATTGACCTTCTCTATCCTCTTACTCTTTTTCTTCCTAACACATCACTATCTGAATTTACACTTTTTAGTTTTCTCTTTTCCACTCAGGTAAGCTCCATGAGGGTCTCTTACCTACTTTTCTGTGTCCAGCATATAGGACCGTGCCTGCCAAGTAGTAGGCACTGAGTGCTCACTTTCTCCTGAGGTTCCAATGCAAGGCTTCAGTAGTCACTGAACTGATGAGTAGACTCTCAGGGGCAATTAGAGCAATTTTTTTTTTTTTTTTGCTTCTGGAGTGCTAATGTCATGTAAGTGCTAATCACTTCTTTTCACCACTGTGGTCAAAGGGGGAAGTACATGGGGGGAAATTGCTCTTCTAGTCTGTGAGTGGGATTTACTTTAGAAGCTGTTATTTCTATTTAATTTTATGGTATTTTAATATCAAATGTGCCTATTCTTATTATATGTGTGTCTGCCTTCTTAGGGAAAATCTCATCGTGACCAGCAGCTTCTTCTTCTCAAAAAGCACCTAGAAGAGAATTATAGGAACAGAGATCGAAAATGGATTGTTTTGTTTCCAGAAGGGGGCTTCCTCAGGAAGAGGCGAGAAACAAGTCAAGCATTTGCCAAAAAAAATAACTTGCCATTTCTTACACATGTCACTCTGCCAAGGATTGGAGCAACAAACATTATCTTGAGTGCACTTGTCGCACGACAGGAAAATGGAAGTCCCGCAGGAGGAGATGCTAAAGAATTAGGTATGATGGCTTTTAGCACTTTTTCTTTTGTCGGAACTCCGGATTCTCTGGAGTTCCGAAAGATAACATTATTGTTCTTTTTTATATTTATAATTTTTGTCAAACAGAAATAATAGGGAGAAGATGCAAATCTAATTTTTTAATGTTTCTATTTACAGAAGTTAGTTCATGCTTACAATAATTTATTCAAATAATGCAAAATGCATAAAGTCAAAGGTGTCTTTCCCTTACCCCACCTACCTTTACTCCTGGCCATTCCCACTGTAGTAAACATTCCTATAAATATCTTCATATATTTGTGGAAGTATAGTCTGGAGTATAGATTCCTAGCAGTGGAATTGCTAGCTTAGAGGTACAGGAATAGAAATCACTAATTTGAAAAACTAATCATAGATATGCAAATGCAAATTGTAATAATGTATATTTTTTTCATTTATCAAATTTAGAAAGTTTTTTTGGTTTGCTTTTAATACAGAGTATGAACTTAATGCAGTTTGACAGTGTTTATTAAGAGCCTTCAGGTGTTGATAAATGACTCCATTATTCCACTACAAATAATACTTATCAAAAGGAAATAATAAGACATACATGGTAAAGAGGTTTATCACAGCATTATTTTTATTTATTTATCTATTTATTTATTCATTATTATTTTCACAATTTTTTTTTTAAAGATTTTATTTTTTTATTTGAGAGAGAGAGAATGAGAGACAGAGATCACGAGAGGGAAGAGGGCAGAGGGAGAAGCAGACCCCCTGCCGAGCAGGGAGCCCGATGTGGGACTCGATCCCGGGACTCCAGGATCATGACCTGAGCCGAAGGCAGTCGCTTAACCAACTGAGCCACCCAGG